TATTGGGATGCTGTCAAGCCTGTGTCGATCGTGCCGCAAGCAAGACAACCGCTCCCTCGTCTATGATTTCCCCGACACCCAATTCTCAACCAACGTCAGCACACCAACTGATCCAATCTAAACGTCAAGAGGCAATCCAACGTGCTCGAGGCTTGTATTCCCATCCAACATCCACCCCGGTCATTCCCAGCCCCCTCAGTCAGCCTCCTGCACCCACTTTGCTTCCGCAACAAACACACTTTCCTCCACCCAGTGCCAGCAATCCAGGTGTGTGTGACTTTGTTTACCAATAATGTGATCCTACAACAACTAACCACCCTCTCCGCGACTTCATCTGATGTTCAGGATTACCAGCCATTACCGCCCCTGAAATATCCAGGAGCAACCCATATCTGATGGCCCGCACAGCACGGATGTCGGCCATCCAACCCTACCCCACCCAACGGGCCGCCCGCACTGCTGCAAGAGTTCCCAAACCGCCAAAACTTCCTACCAGCAAGGGGGCTCTCCCATTAACTAGCCCTCCCGACAAGATCTCAGTCCAGTGTGGTTTCGAGATGTGGTACAGAAGCAAATGGACCCAGCAGCAAGGTGTCTTACGGACCAACCATTTCGTCAACTGGGCCGACCCCTCCTCTTTCACGAGCTTGCTTACCACACTTTGCAATAAATTCTGTGATCTCGTCGAACTCAAGACCAAAATCACGGACGAGAGGGCAATGTTTGCCAAAGAACATTTTGATTTCTGTCGGTTAGGCTCACGGAAAGGGGGGTCGGTTGAAGATTATGACTCATTTGTCGACTTTCTTAAGCGGGAGAAAGTCATTGATCTTATATACGACCAGGATGCTTTTGAAAAATTTTCACTAGATGAAGAGGAGCGACTAGGAATGGAAGCCGAATCAGCCCGCCACAAACTCCGATCCAGCCAATCTTGTCCGTCCACCAATAGGTCGCCGACTCCTGAGAGCGAGATGTCTTACTCTAGTCTCCCATCACCCAAAACAGTTGTAACCCGCTCAACATCCATAGTTACACGTTCGGCCTCTGCCGTGTCCTCTCAGATGTTCACGATGGACGACTCTACCAAACAACTCAGTCAGAATATTCCTGGCCCACTCACTCAGAATAAGGTGATACCCACTGCGGTCAATCTATCACCTCCCGACATACCACTTCCAAACCCACCTTGTTCAATGGCTAAAGAGATGAAGGAAGAGGATGGCATCGTTGTGATCCGGGTCACTCCACCTTGTAAGTTTTTTCCTCAAGACAATATCTCTCGGTGAGGCTGGCTGACATTGAGTGACTAGGGCGAGCTGAGGCAATCCTGAATCCAAATGATCTCTCATGGGACCGCTTTGGGACGTTGGAAACCTCATATTGGGACCGAGGTTCCGATGACTCTGACTGGGTGGATGGTGTTCGGTACCACCTGGAAGCGGATGGGTTGATCATGGTCCAGAGAATTTGTCTTTACCGGGTGGATTACAAAAAATGCTTCAAACTCAAGCCTGGATCTAAGGTCATTGCGGCGGAGATTCTCAATTCTGGGACCGTATTCCAAATGGTGGCCGAGTACGAACTTCAAAAGAAGGACTTGTCGAAAGAAAGCTATTCTATATGGCCCAACTGCGTAATGCGCTCATACGCTGCCGCCAGGCAATTTTTGGCCCAGTTTGCCCACGCTGTCAAATCGTCTGATGACTGCAGCACCTCTCAAAGGCAATTGGCAGCAAAGCTTAGGGTAAGATTTCATCCTTTTTTATTTGATGCATCATGATACCAATTTTGAATTCTCTCGGTAGATTGTTGATAACTTTCCAGTCCATCATGACTTCATGAATCGTGGAAGATCTGGTGACCCTTATGTCGAAGGGCAAGACGACGATATGTTACCTGCACGAGAAGACACACCTGAATCATACTACGTAGATGGTCCCCACGATCCGGAAGAAGAGCCATCCCGCGTCTTTATAATGGAAGAGCATATCGAAGGTTATTCGACCCTTTTGTCCGCCACCACAAAAGACTACTATATCAGTAACCACTCCAAGACCATCGACTTGTTGCTACACTCTTTTCAACACTGGGTCTATGCGCACACGAAAGGTCAGATGACGATTACCAACTTCAAGGGAAATCCTCCGCTAATAGCTAAACCACAAATTGTGGATTTGAACAAAAAGTATGGAAATTTCTAATCTCCTCTGTGAATATCATCATTTTACCTGACACATCATGAATTTCAGTTCCTATTGGCATCTCCCTGATAAATCATCACAAATGATCACGGATTTCATTCAAAAACACACCTGCACTAAAGTGTGTAAATCCCTCTCCCTCCCTGAACTGTGCCGGATTGCGTGGCCTCAGCCAACTCATCAAGATGGACGCAATTCACACCCAAACCCAACTGCTGGGACTAGCCGGAAACCCCATGGTATTGTGGAACAGGACATGGAGCTGATTTCGGTTGTGAGGAAAGGAAAAACCGCTCTTAAGGCTCGTCTAGAATGAATGGAAAATTGTATGTGTATATAGATTCCTGTTGGTCAGTGGTGCCGGGTTGATGAGGGAGTCTCAGCCTTGGTCGATGAAGGCCTCATCACCCAAGTAGATCACATGTCTCATCGCACAGTAAATGTCTTCACATATAAACACAGTTCATTAACTATGATAATCAGTGATATAATAATCAAGAAACTTTGTCAATTTATCGGATCTTTATTGCTAGTCCAATTGCAAATCATCGTTAACTATAGCATCATCAATGCATATGGGTTGCAGGCCTTGGTCGATGAAGCCCTCATCCCCCAAGGTTTTAATTTGTCAACGTCAGATGGTTCAATGACTGGCTGACACTCATGGGTTAAGTTTCTGAGTGAACTACATAGACATTCATCCACTGAGTTTATTATGATACTTGCCTCAATGCAACTGAACTTTATTGGCGGTTCATTCTGTAATATATCGTTTGTGCAGGCCTTGGGAGATGAAGGCCTCATCCCCCAAGATCTGAACTGTGTAGGCTGGGTTTTCATCGAACCTCCATGACCCTCAATGAAAATGGGGGTCTAGATAGACGTTTGTCTAACAGCCCCCTCTGGCTACCCTCCAGTGCTCCTTTTTCCTGAGAATTATGTTCAGCTACCTTCTCATGCACTTGTTCAACACTCGCAGCGGCCCTCTCCAGCTATCGATTGACCAATCCGCCAATCTATTCCTCATCTACACACCCAGCTACCCTCACAGCCCCCTCTAGCTACCAACAATCGCCCAAGTCCTCAGCTACCCATCTACACTCCCAGGTACCCTTCACAAACAATCTTTCGACACGACAACTCCTCTCTTCCTCATCTACACACTCCCAGCTACCCTTCTCAAACGCTGACGACCCCCCCTCTTTCTGGTTGTGTAGGGTAGCAAACCACCGGAACTCGTTCCAATTTCAGGGTCAGTGGACGGCCGACTTCGTCGGCCGTTCTTTTCCTCTGTTGATCTCTTCTGGCCTCTGCAGCCACTACCATCACCAATGGTAGTGGCTCAGAGGAGGTGGGGGCCTCAAGCTGACAACCCCCCCCCCTCTTTGTGGTTGTGTAGGACAGCAATCGAGCGGGACGATCGTTTGGATCGCTCAGCCTTCAGGTGAGTGAGCGGCCGACTTCGTCGGCCGTTCTTTTCCTCTTTTGTTCTCTTCTGGCCTCTGCAGCCACTACCATCACCGATGGTAGTGGCTCAGAGGAGGTGGGGGCCTCAAGCTGACAACCCCCCCCCCCTCTTTGTGGTTGTGTAGGACAGCAAACAATCGGGACGATCATTTGGATCGCTCCGCCTTCAGGTGAGTGAGCGGCCGAATTCGTCGGCCGTTCTTTTCCTCTTTTGATCTCTTCTGGCCTCTGCAGCCACTACCATCACCGATGGTAGAGGCTCAGAGGAGGTGGGGGCCTCAAGCTGACGACCCCCCCCTCCCTCTTTCTGGATGTGTAGGAGGACAGCAATCGACCGGAGCGATCATTTGGATCGCCCCACCTTCAGGCGAGTGAGTGGCCGTTTTTGTCACTGTTGAATTGCTCTGGCCTCGGCAGCCACTACCATCAACGATGGTAGTGGCTCAGAGGAGGTGGCTCCCCTCTGTTGGTCCAAACAACGCGGTTGTTGACGTTGCAAGCACCCGAAGACCCCCAGGCCGTGTCACGTCGCCCTCTCGCTACCCAGAATTGCCGGTTGCTAGCTAAAGCTCAGAAACTGGTCGATAAAATCGCTTGCGAGCTCTTCATCAAATCGATTTACTCTGCTTGTTGTTTGGCTACACGGAACAATTGATCACACTCATAACACACAATCTTCGGTAGTTAGCTCCTCAACGAATCAATTCGCTACCGTCTCACTTGTTGTTTGGCTACACTGAAGAATTGATATCGGTTAGACACCCCGATCATTGGTTGCTAGCTCTTTCAAGAATCCTCTCCGCGCCCAGCTGGTAAGATCTCTTCCGAGTTTGTTCATTTGTGTATAGCTAACCTTGATGATTGCTTATCTTTTCGATTCTCTTTCTGCTGCCCTAGTCTTTCACTCATCAAGCCACAACCCTGAAGAATTGCTAGCTGCAGGATGGCCCATAACAAACGGTATAATTTACATTGATTTAACATAGATAACAGGATTACTGATGATGCATCCTTTGATTTGACTTGCTTCCCTTGAATTCTAATATGTGACATGTATGGGATCCCAATGTATGAATAATTTGGGGACTTTGAATTGATCATATAAGAAAAAAAAATGAATCCAGGAAACGATCTCAACACAAGAACAAACTCCTACGTGAACAGCGTGAGCGAGCCTCCCTAGTGGAATCGGCCATTGGTCCTTCTGGCCGAAAATTCTACTGGCAGAATGTGAAATATGATGCCCTGAACATCTATCCAACAATTCCAAGGGCTCTGGTTCGTGGTAAACTTCAATACACTAGACCCCCAACGTCAGAAGAGATCGCCATGGCCAGTGATACTGTCCAAACATTCCGCCTCTTGAAGACCGGTTGCAATATCGTACGAGACCCTCAAGATCCCAAATCAATCATTGCAATTATCGAATTCACCAAATTCTCCGATCTCACGGAAGCGGATAGAGAAGAGCTCAACTTTGTGTCCACCTTTCTCCGCAAGACCACCCGATTTATCAGCAACGTCAAGTCTAAACAACGCGCATGGGGTGGGAAGATGTGGGGGATTGGTTGGAGGAAATCCTCAGATGAAGACCAGATCGCCGGAAGATACATCAAGGCGTTTGAGGCTGTGCATGCTGAAGCCTACCATGATCTATTCTCACTATCTGGTCGAGTAGGTCAAATTGTTGGTCGAAATTTCAAAAAGCTGGCGGAGATCCCTTTCGGCTCAAATCGTGACCTCATGGCTGAACATGGCCTTCCATCCTTGGCGGCTTTGGAATATGGCGAAGACCTCACAGAATCCGATTGTGCACCTCACCTCACCTTCACTACCGATGGATTCTTCAACCCACCTCATACTGACGACGAGGACGTCTCAAAATACGCTTTTGTCATGTTCCTTCCAACTCACACCAAGGATGGCTCTTTGGCCACCGATGAAGACTCCTACGATATTACGTCTGGTCCCTTCATTTTTCCTGACCACAAGTTTGGCATCAACTTTGATCACCAATTCGGTGTGGTCAAGATGATATGGCAGGCTAATTCATACAAGCACTGTACCATGCCATCCTCTCATAGCTCCCGATTTACCCGCCTGGGTATGTCTGTACAAATCAATTTAGGATTGAAGAATGCATGTGTTGCGTACCAACAAGGCAAATACAACAGTGTGGCCAACTACTTTGGAGATCATTTCTTTTACTTATACCGTAGTTGTCTTCATTTATCGCTTGTTGTTTGTGCTTTTCTTTTCACTCTTATGTTTTTGTAAGGATATAACACACGTTGATTGCCTATGAATTCAGATATTTGCTCTTCTCACATGAGCATTGATGGGATACACTAGGAGATAAGAGCAATTTAAGTTATTGCAAATGAGAGTATAAATATCTACAGGGCCAATTGATTTAATCTAGCTTTGTTGAACTTGGTAAGGTGGGCCATCCGCCCAGAAAACCGTTGCCCCCTTTTGGACATCATAGTCCGTCATCAGAACAATGTCCTCCCATAATACCTCAGCGAGTTTCTTAGTGGAAAAGTCCTCCTCAAAGACCTTCATCACATGCTTCCAATCCATGGGTTCATTGTTCCCAAATCCCATACGTGATAGTGCATTGATGATATGAAGACGAGTATTTCCAAAATTTGACCAGGGGGGCTCTGGAAAGTTGGCTGCATTCTGTGCTCGTTCCGTGACAACCATGGCGCCCCATTCAACAAGCATGCAGGATTGCCACTGGGCTGAATACTTTCGATCCGTCGGGCATGAGAACATTGAGACCGGGCCAAAGACTAGTAGGTGTGATAGACTCCGGATGGCCTTTGTAGATGTACGGTTCATCTTCTCGTGGGTATCTTTTTTCAGTATCACAGGCTTCTCCTGACTCTTCTTGTCGAAGTGTAGGTTGATCAAGGCGGTGACTGCTAGGGCTATGTTGGTGTAGATATGGCCCATACCTGTTGAGCTAAGATCTCCTGATCCATCAGGGACCCTCAAGCGGGATGGTTTCGGATCGTCGGCGCCTCGAGTGGTGATGTCATGGAAAAACTCCATGACTTTGGCCAGTGCAGCATCAGAGTGCCCATCAACATCCTTGAGGTCATCCATGACCATGTTGGCCCTTTGACATGCAAGAAGCATTATGATATCGTGGATGGTGTCGTTCAGCCTTTTCCACGCCCCACGCACCGGATCAGCCGTGGAGTTGATGATAGGAAACAGAGGGTGTTCAGGCTCTGGGGACACGCTGGCGGCACTCCGCAGGGACATTGAGGAAGATTGTCCCGGTTTTTTCCTAGGGCCTAAGCACGCGCGATTCACAAATTCGACTCCGATGAAGCAATCCCTATCGTGTCCAAGAAGTACATTGTCTGCAAGTGTATTTTGGGTCAGCATATACCCAGATGAACATGACGAGTTGGTGGCCACATACCCCTTTTACAGCGGTCCATTACAAGGTTTACATTTTTCAGCATAGGAGACTCAATTGCCGGCCTTGCCGGACTTTTGTAACCCAGGAGACCTGGCAACAGACCAATGATACATTGTGTTTTCTCGATGAATCTGGCCGTTTTAACTGGGTCAACCCTACTCTCTTTGTGTTGTTCCCAGTATTCAAGGCATTTGAGATCCCCCACAGGCAGCCGGACAAACAGGTCTGTGCAAGCAAACAACATCATTAGCCTCGTCCTTTGTCCCCTTTCAGAAAGGCCTGACCCACCTGGTGATGGCTCACGCAAGGGTACCTGGCGGGAGGTTGGGTCGGTGCCCAGTGTCCCCGGAGTCGGATGTTTCGCCGCTGTGCCTGGGGTCCCACCGCTGTTTGTGGTTGGACTATTCAGGGGAGGGGAATTAGGCCCCCTAGAGGGCCCCGTGGGAGTCATCCCTCTAGTGGGGGCAGTTGGCCCTGTTGACTTTGTGCGAGCAGTTAAATCTGGCCCTCCGCCTCCAAGAGTAGTTCCTGTGCCAGCCGGTCTGTGATTTGGAGCGCCAGCATTGACCGTGTTGCTGCTTGTTGGGGCTGGCACAAGTGGTGTGGTCGCCGGTGTGGGGTTGGGCGTGGTGACAACTGCGGTCTTCGGCAATGGCTTTGGTGAATTGGGCCCATCAGTGTCAACTTCATCACTGTCAGCCGGGGTTTGATCGCGAGGTTGACGGATGTGACCAAACGTGGGCAACGGTGGCGGGTGTGTGAGGTCTGATTTGCCCCCCTGAGATTCTTCCTCTTCAGACTCAGATGATGAATCGTCGGAATCAGAAGAGGCCAGACTTGGTGAGTCTAAACGGGGGCGGTGTTTTCGAGTGGCATCACCTGTCAAAGAGCGGGTGATGGGTCGCTTTTGGCCCAGGGTGACCACGTTCCCAAGACCAAGAGGGGGATTATTTGGTGCTGGTGGCGAAGGCTGAGGGTTATCAGGTTCCGAAAGGGAGGCAGAAGGAGGCGAAGACAAAGGTGAACAGCTCCTGTTTGATTTGCCAACCTTAGGGTTAGAACCCCAGAGTGGAGAGTCGTCCTCCGAAGGTGGATTTGATTCTGGCAAGAAAAGCGGTTTATCCATGTTCGTCCCCTCAGTATTTGAGCCATCCGTGGCCCCCTTAGTTTTTCCAGATTGAGCAACATGGCCATTGCCCACATCAAAGCTGATCTCAGGATCAACCTCGCCTTCTGCATCACTGGAAGTTAAATCCATCTCTTTGTCATGATGAATTGCGTCCTTGGTCGTGTCAGGGCCTTGAACGGGTACCACATCTTCTTGTGGAGGTCGGATATCCGTCATCTCAGGCGCTTGAGGAAGTAATGGGTTGTCATCGTTTCGAGGTGGGTCATCTGTTGGAAAGGCAAACAATGATGCATTAGGATCAAGAAAAAATCACCCAGCGTGAGTCAGACCACTCACCGTCCATGGCTTCTTGCTCATTTGAAATGACGTTGCCTTGTTGCGGACTTGGGGGCCTGTTCGTCTCACCGTCTAGTTCTGCACGCATATTGGTCACCCTGACCTCGGTGTCGGATGGCCTCAGGTCCCCAGGGGAAGCCAGCGTCACAATCCAGTTGGGCAGAGGGATCTGTGGATGCACCGCTCGGAATCTCGTGATATATTTGGACACGTAAAATGACCGCAAGTTAGATAGGACCCGGATGTGGGTACCAGCCATCCCGTCCAATTCCATGAGCTCGGTCATGCGCTGAACAATGTGTGCTTCTGCAAGAGGCATATGGGTCAATGGTCCAGGCCCGTTGAGTGATGAATTGTTTCTTACCTAAAAGTTCGGCCATTTCAGATCCCTTCGGTTGTTTCCTAGTCGATATTTGAAATGTTGTCGTTTTAGTTGGTTCTTCTCAAGATTTTGACTGTCCCAACTTGAGAAGCTATCTCGATATAAGTGGGTTTGGGTGATGATGACCTCACCTTGCAGAGGTGCATAAACCTTAACAATAAACTCTAAAATCATCCAAAACTGCAAGGTGAGGTCAGCCAAGGTATCGTTGGAGTCGTCCTAAGTCCCGGAGTAAAAGAGAAAACAGGGGCCGGGATAGACGGTCGAAAAGTACATGCGATGGATGAGAATACAAAAGTATAACTACCTTATACATGTAAAGATTAACCAAATTGGAAAGGATTGTTCAAGATTCTACTAAACCGTGGAGATAAAAAGCGGGTCTACGGGGAGGTGATTGGACATAGGCCAAATAGCACTTCAAAAAAGTCTCGCCCGGGTGCTAGGCTCAGAAATAAGATTTGGGACAAGACTCTAAGACAATGGCAAGGATTTGTCCCAGAATCTATGCACCAAGGGATCATAAACATGTCCTAGGCTTAGATCAAGGCAAACTACTCCAGTGGTTGGCTCAGATATGTTTAGTCAGGTTGAAGTATGATGTCCAAAGAATTTATATTTTGAGAATCATATTGCTTCTTGCATGATAGTGTTTAAATGTGTTCAGTAAAAAAAGCCAGCAATGTGATCAAAGATCAAATTCCAGACGGTCCTGTTCAAATGGCGGGAAAGTGCTACAACAAGACAGGGATGGATTCTGGATATAGTCTTTATCAGTCCGACTAAAGACCCTGCATTATGATTGGGGAGTGGTCACTAAGCAAGGGAATCAAAGGTAGGATTTAAATAGTGCAAACAGTGGCGCGTTTAATTGATTAAGGTTTGATTTCGAGCCTTGAGGAGGGGGCAGAAAGAATGATGAAATATTGATATATTATGGAGAATCTGAAGTGATGCTTTACAATCTCAGACAAAGAATCGGGGTCTAACTACCAGGAGCAAGGGAAGTGGACTGACAGGGTTCAAAACAAACATAGAAAAAGTACAAAATATGACAAAGCTGGATTCGGAAATTTGTTTGGTCCAAATCCGAGTCATACATTTACCTTGGCCGGCGCTAGGAAAAGGAATGTGGGACTTAGCTCTGACGTACCCGGCCATGACGGTTCTGGAAAACATATTATGAGGCCTTTCTTCCTAAGCGATCACCTCATCAATGATTCTTATTCCGGTTACTAAAGAGTCATAACAAAGTCTATGCAAAATAAGCCTGGTTGAGCTCGGCGATGGGACCGGATTAGGACTTAGGAGAGAGAAACCAATAGAGGCTATGTTGATGAGTAAGGAGAGGCGAGGCAAAAGGCCCTGTAAGAAAATGCAAAAGGAATACAATTTTGAACCTGTCAAGGCAGAGGCCCGGGATGAGGCCATATATTTTGTTGGGATCAAGCGAGGAACGTAGGATAAGGCAATTGACTTCAAGGAATGCAGTGTTTGATGAGATCATTGTCCGAAATTGTGCATCATGTGGCGGAGCAGAGAATATAAACCTCTGTGGCCTTGTGGGAGCAGTAAGAACAAAAGCACACAAAAATTATTTAAGAAGACAACGGTGATAGACACAGAATTTGGGAATATGGTCGAATGCAGGTTCAGTACAAGAATTAATGTCTTGTCGACATCGCTAGTAGCGATACCTGTTTAGGACTGGGGTTTGAGCTTTATGGTTAAACTTTTTAATAATTTTGTCTCGCGCTTGTTTTTCCCTCCCCTCATGGGATTTATTTTGTTTACACTTTCTAAACTCTCTTCAGAAATACTTAAAAGACCTTTTTTAAAAAAAAAAAAAGAAAGAAACCTGCAAACCTGCACCTGAGACTTTCACCTGCTCGCTTATTCTTTACATCCTTGAGGCTCGATCGTCCCAAAGAGGGACTTAGTTAAGTTAGGCTCGTCCCTATGGAACAATGGGATTGTGCTAAAGCTAGGCACATATGTAACGGTGGAACAATATCGTTAGCGTATTGTAGCGTGGCGTATCTACGCCAACAATACCGTTCTTTACCGGTACTGTTAGCGTATATGCGCTAACAATACCTCTTTTTACCGGCACTGTTAGCGTATCTGCGCTAACAATACCGTTTTTTACCGGTACTGTTAGCGTATCTGCGCTAACAATACCGTTTTTACCGGTACTGCCAGCTTATGGATCCCTGGCACTACGGCGTTTGCGCTGCCAATAAGACCCCAGAGCGTCGATAGACAACATCGACCTGATAACGCTCGTAAGACGTAGCGTACTTTTGGGCCAACATCGATGGGTATTGGCTAATTCCAGCAGAGAATGAGAGTATGCAGCCCTTTTTTGAGGCTCGATACGCGGGCGATATCGAAAAATGTGAGAGAAAAAAAACCACTTCCTCCACGCTGACGTTTATGGCTGAAATAGCGCAGCGGCGCCCATCGCTGCAAGTTTATATAACCTTTCATTTGAGCGAAAAGTGGATATGATTGAACCGTTGGGGATCGTGTCGTACAGTTGGAAATCGCTTGAAGTAACCCAAGTTGGGTACCTGCACTTGATTGTCAGGTTAACATGAGGCTCTTGAGGCGCTACATTGCCTTTCTCATCTGGGCTTGAAGCAGCGTGAGCGAGGCTGAACTCGGCCCTCGGTGTGGTTCCATGGGGCATGGATGGAGAAGGGATTGCTAAGTTAAACATTTTAGTGAATTTATGCGGGATCAACTACTTAACCTGAGCTGTTTACCGAGCGGCCATTTGTCGGTAACATGAACTTGGCGCGAAGTGGTCCATTCCATGTCACCCTGGTGTTACGAATACGAGATCTATGCTCATTGTATAAGATCAATCATCTCCAAAAAGATTGGAGTTGAGTAGAAGTGCTCCATTGGCAACCGTATCCCAACTCTCGTGAAACCTGACGCTGATAAGTATAACCTTCAGAGGTCTCAACTCACCTCCGCAGACTGCTATTCTTTCTGGGGTAGACCGTGGGAAGCTGTCCGCTTCACCATGATCCTGTCTGCAATAAAATTACTTTCGAGACAAGAAAACTAGGTCAACCACCGCTAGTATTACAGAGCGTCTGGATTGGCGGACATGAAAAAGGGATGCAGTTCAGACTCCAAGAGAAATGAAATACGCGTAAGCATCGAGTCGAGCGGGCCAGTCACATCGCGAAACGTGACCCTGAAACCAACCATGTCGTAACGAGGCCAGGGCGCATAAATCTGGAATATTGGTGACTGCCTCATTTCAAAGGATCTAGTCTCTTGATGAATTACGCAACATTTATTTCTTTGCTGTAGCTCAGCGGTATCTAGCTGCTGCGACTGGTCTAATAATAAGAGGTTGATTTGAAAACATGAGAAATATTGGCTGCCAATCAGATTTGGAGGAAGCTGGCCAGAAAGTTTTCTCACGTGGAACAAGTTATTCTTCGCATGCGATTTCTCATGAAGCAAGTGCTCCTCGCCGTATGATTTGTTCCCCACTATCCTTGACAAGGATCGGCCATGGTCTTCCAGTTTTCCAGAAATTCAATTAATGTGAAGTCTTGATTTCATGCGTGAGTATTGAGGCATTTTTAATGACGGGACTGTTTGCGCAGGGATAAAAAAAATAAAGGAAGGCTCCATCAATTCGGCGAGTTTTGTGACTTGTTCACAAAGAACTGTCTGAAAATTTAAATTCATGAAGATTGCGGAGCCCAAATCTTTACATTCGTCGCTTTGGCGAAAGCTATGCCACTAAGAACACCGGCAAGGAATACAAGGCTTTTCCTTGAAAGCAGGCGGCTCGGAAGCTGCCGGTGGTAGAACAGCTGGTATATAACAAAATAGTCTTCACATATGACTACGAGTATTAGTAGCTCATTTGAAGTTACAGCACCCATAAAGCCAAGATGGGCCCCCTCCAAAAGAGCCGGAGAAATGGATTTCATCTTCACAAGTGCTCCGCCCTTCAACCCCAAGGCCTACTATAAGTGTTGCTCAAGTATCCTCAGCGTTCCTGAAAGGCGTAATGAGCCTACTCAACGGCAGCCGACAAGAAGGATTCAAGAGCTGAACAAGTGTCCCGCCCTTCACCACTTGAAGTTAGAGCACGGATCAAGCCAAGCTGAGCTTATTCTACAACAGCCAAAGCAATGGGTTCAAGCTTCACAACTTCTTTCAATCCCAAGGCCTACCCTAAGTGTTGTTCAAGTAGGCTCAGCTTTAATGAATGGCGTAACGAGCCTACTCAATAGCATCTGGCACAAAGGATGTAAGCTGAACAATATAAGTCGACACAAAGGATGTAAGCTGAACAAGTGCTCCGCACGCCTCCTGCTGGAAGTGCTACTTAAATCGGGCTCAGCATTGATGAAAGGCTTAAATAGACATCCAGATAAACCAATCCTCCTCCCAACTTAACCTCCATCTCTTCCATCCCATCACTTCCTTTCACATCCTTTCACATCCTCTCCCAAACTCTAAAAGCCACTCGGAAGAAAAACTTACTCTTATAATATCAAATATAACCAAAGATGGACGAAGAAATGCTCCAGCGAACTGAAGAGGCTTTGTCGCACCTCAACCCTCAAGATCGACGGCTCTTTGAGCGCCACCTTTCGTCTTTGCAAGCTGCTCACGACCAACTAGCCGCTCACCCTGACCGGGACAGACTTGACGAAGATGAAAACCGCCGCTACTTTGCTGATCGGGATGAAATTGAGTCAGCATTGGGACGTCTTCCCGAAGCAATTACCCAACGCTTGCGGCATGTCTTGGGGCTATGGGAGGTTTTGATTTTCTTTCTTGAAGAATCTCGGGCTTGTTCCTTCGGCATTCGAAGACGTCTAGCTCAACAACTATCGCAATTCACTCTTTCCGACACCGCCGTCGCCACTTTGACCAAATCTCACGACGGCGATGCTTTGGAATGTGCCATTTGCAATGAGGAGCTCTCCCTGCCCGACCAATCTATTGTTCAGCTTCCATGTCACGCTTCTCACCTTTTTCACCGAGAATGCATTCTAGTATGACTTTTTTCTTCAAATTCACTCTTGCTTCCTTAATTTGTCGCTAATCTCAATCTACTTCCGCTGCAGCGCTGGATTGGACGCGACCGGACCTGCCCTATTTGCCGTGCTGCAATCCCACTTCCGTCGGACCCTGCCACCTGAAGTGATGAATCTTTTATGCCTTTCTTCTATTTATATTTGTTGTATTATGAAAATTTGTTGTAGAACACTTCTCTACCCTTCTTACCATTATGCCCCAATAATAAGGAATTCCAATTATCTTGAATACATCAATGCGCAAACGCGAAAGGCCTTTCCTCATGCTCCTCCACTGCCCGCAGTTTCAGTCCAGAGCTTCAAAGAGTCGCGGAAACTGTGGAGCGCATACATCCTTAAATTTGCCGCTTTGGCGAAAACCATACCACTCAGAACATCAGCAAGGAAAGCAAAGATTTGGGTTGAAAGCTGACAGGCGTAGAACAACGAGTACTCCAGAAAGTCATCTTCACATGCGTACCAGTATTGCCTCGAGTAGCTCACTCGAAATTACAGCATCAACAAAGCCCAGCTGAGCCTGCTTTCCAACGACGGACTCAATAAATCCCAACTTCACAAGTGATCTGCATCTCAATCCCAGGTCTACATACTTGTTGGTGTTGCTCAGGTAGTCTCAGCTTTAATTAACGGACTATGTATCTGAAGGATTGAGAACAAGCTCCAAGAACATCGTTCTGTTGAGAACTTAAGAAGGGCGCAGTTGAAAGCCTATTGTCGGCACTACCAAGCTCAAACTTTCGAAATGTGCAAAGGCACAAATTCAAGTCAGGATGTAAATTGCTTGATTATTTATTTCCTTCTTAAAATCCAGTAATAACTCCGAGACGCGTGCGTATGCTCGAAGATTCGTAAAAATGAGTGTATGATTGATTTTACTATTAGTATTACTTTGCTATCGACTATCCAATAACACTCTTTCGGCGTGCTTGTAAAAAACATTAGTTTCACCCACTGAACCTTTGGGATGTCACCATTTACTTTGAGAAGCACACTTCGGGTACAGGACTTTCATAACAGTATGATCTCTCAGAAACAAGAGCAACTCTGCTCGACATGAAGGATTCAAGAGAAACTTAACACAACGTAATCGATCTTTAGACATAAAAGGCTGATAAAAATAATTACTCCAGATGGAGAATTGTGACAAGATGATCAAGGGAGATTGAAACTATGAAGAGCCACTTGTGATTTGAGAATCGAACCGAACTGTTATTGATGGCGTCATTTACAAAAAGAATGGAAACAAAGGCATCAGTCGCTGAGCTTGATTTTTTAGAGAATTAACCTTACCTTTCGTTCCCCAAAAACCGTCACTCTCACTGCATGCCCAGGGTCTTTGATCCGGTGTAATCTTCCCGAAAGTTTCGCCAAATCTCAAGAGGTTGAGTTCATCGCCATTTGCCACGGGGGACCAAGTAGCATAGCCGTCGAGGTTCGGGGATCCAGACGCGGCGAAAGCCGCCCAGCGTTTGCCGACTTCAGTTATCAATTTCCTCTGTGAATATGACAGGAAACCGGAATAATCTTTCGGTGTTCCAAAAACGGCCAAAATGTCGTCTTCGTGACTAAGTTTGCGGTCAGTTTAGGAAAACTTTACCGAAATCTTTGGTGAACCATTGTGACTAACCAAACCTTTCCTCGACACAGGGGAATGTTCTGAGTTGAAGGGTAGGGAATTCCCAAGTCGAACTCGGCAAGCCAGATTGTGTTGTTTCCCCCGGGAGGGGGGAAGTTTCGAGTCAAATTGACGGCTACCTGCTGATTGGCACATGTCCAAATCTAAAAAAAACATAAAGATGAAATGTGAACATAGAAGACTCGAGGCACTCGTAATAATCATCGATGAAAACACACATAGTCGGATCCGAACAGGAGAAGTGTCTCTTTGGCAGCTTGAATTCTGTTTCTAAAAATGAGTTCAAAACCTAATTCGCGGCTGTAGACATGAGATGACTGAACAGCTGAGCTACGGTTGGGATCGAGAGAACCTAGAGCGGCATTGATCAATAGGGGAATTTGGCCGATGGATTTCAAGTCTTTAGCTCGATACTCAATGGTGGGAGCGGCTTCGTCCTTGACGGTTGTAAATATGATCTGTCGGCTTCCCAGGTAAAGATCCCTACTGCCCGGAGAATTGATAGCACGCATGAAGTCTGTGGTAATCAGTGCATTGTCGACGAACGGCCTGAACGGCTCAGAGGCAGCGACTTCGGGGAGGCGATTTGGAAGCTGATCCATCAGAGCATTTTGAACCTCAAGAATGGTGTCTACGTCTAAGTAAGATCTGTAACAATCATCTTGACAATTGAATAAAGGGATCGCAATTGCACCTATAGCATCGGCCGTTTTGACTGAGTGATCGCCGTAGTTCAGTGGTGCAGAATGAAGAATAGCTCTTTGGAACAGGTCAGATGCAGATCTGGTCACCAAAAGTGTCTTGATCATTTCAGCTCCACTGGATTGACCGGCCAAGGTAATGCTGTTGCGGTCACCACCAAAAGTATCGGCCAATTCCTTGATGGAATCTAGAAACCGAACAAGACATCAGATTAGTTTGGCCTCTGACAGGGCTAAGCGAGAAGCAGCTACTAACTCAGAGCTGTGATCACATCTTTTACTGCATAGTTTCCACTGATAGGAGGATTTGTTCTCGCAAGGGAACCTTTTAAGAATCCAAGTAACCCAAGCCTGTACTGTACTACAACCACAACCATATTGGACTTTCCGGCCAACGCGGAGCCATCAAGTCCATAGTTGGTTGCGCCACCTTGGACAAAGGAACCACCGTGGAGCCTGTGTTTTTTCAGAATGTGCATCAAGTAAGCTCCGGTACGAAAAAAACCCACAATGCCACCAAGCTCACCAGACAAAGATGGGGAGTTTCCCCACTCTATTTACTGGGCTGTATACTGTGTAATACAAGCAGTCTTCACTAAAGCTCTGCTGGGAGGGGATGTTTGGTTGGGGACAGAGAGGCGGCGCATTGGTACCGTCGAAACTAGGAACCCATGAAATTGATTACATCAGAAGTTAATGACGACATATTCCAGGAATGTGAAGCTGAAATATTCGGGTCTGATACTGACATCCCATTCCAACGATTGACCGGCAATGGGTCGCGCCATCTCAATTGACCAACGGGCGGCTGAGCGTAGCGAAGTGAATATTGGAAGACGTCCCTCGTCTTGGACTCAGCTCCTCTGATGGAACCTTTCGGAGAAAAAATCACTTGGGTACGAGGATCATCAAGGATGACGAACGGTAACAAGAACAGTAGAAAGCAGAGGCCGGTTTGGATTTTTGAACTCTGAGACATCATTTTCGGGCTGGTGGGAGCAAGGAGCAAGTTACTCGGACGCTTCTGAGGGATGATAAACGGGCTTCAGCTCGTGAAGGCTAACGTGGGGTTATTATAATGAGCGGGGCGAGCGTAATGTTGGTCAGGGGCGGCGTCTTCTTGCCGTGGAAGTGGCAGTTGCAGAGAACAGACGCAGGTCAGGTGGAAATGAGGCAGTCTTAAACCTGAGCACCTGGTGTCAAACGAAAATCGCGTTAGAAGTCAGAATCTATTTCCAGCCCCATCCATAATGACCATGCGATGTATGAATTTGAAAGCTCCTGCCTGAATGTTCAGATGAGCAGCTCCGTAAGGCTGAACGCACCCTGTATGACCCTGGCTAGGTAGATAAAAGCCAAACTGATGAGCACGCGTTTAGACCAACCCCGAGGATGTCCAAAGATGGGTTGGATGTCCACGTAGGTCACTTACCGGCCAGAGTGCTTGACTCTTTCTCGCTAGGTTGGGACGTTGTCACCTGCCGCTGGGGGGAATGTGACTAGATTTGGTTACATAGCGTTGAAAAACATCGGGACCACCTTCTAACTTGATCGACGGATAGTGATTCTGAGGAGTGCCGACGTTCTGCGATCTATCAGTGCCAATGAGACCGATGGGGTACAGTGCAGACATTGGCTTGATGAATCAGGAATAACGGAGACAGTTGCCAAATCGTCCCATAAGGTTAATCTCGAAAACGATCACATCACATCCATTCTGCATGCTTGCAAGCACCGGTCGATGTCCCTTTGTCCGACTGCAGAGCCGCGAAATGAACCCATAAATAAATATGTAGCCACAAAGCGAGAATTCTCAATTTCTCAACAAAGGGATATCGATCATGTCCAGCCCATATGTACCGGGCACGCCGTGCACATCCACGTGTCGATGCCAAAAGCGGGCATATCCTTCTTGTTCCACACTCCTGGAGGGTTTAAGTCTGAGTAGGCGCACCTCGCCTTACATAGTTGCCTACAGTCAGCTTAACCCTTAGCTGTTGGTCGTCCATTGTGCTGCAGCTTCCCTCGTGCGGCAAGCTTAGGTAGCGCCGATCAAAAATGAGTCTATCAGTTTCTAGGCTCGGAGCTTGGGATTCCTGCTGTACAAACAGGGGTTTGCTCAAGACGCACATTTTGAGGAAGCTCATTATGTCAATACATACGAGGGAATCCCCTGGGGATTCGAGACTAGCCAGCCAGGCCAGCCAGAGCCAATTATAGCATCTCAGACGAATCCCAAGACGCCGAATGGTCAAGGTCCTCCACGCCCCAAGATTTCGATCAGTCGCTAGTATGTAGGGACAATGTCACCCGACCCCAGCGACGAACCGAGGGACTTTCGTGAAGTTAGCATTGGTGCATACTTCGAGTCATTCCTGATCATCACATTCTAATGGATCCACTTGTCCATCAAACGTGTCTCCTCATGTGTAGTTGTGCCGATTCCTGTTCAGAAATTTGAAGAGATGCCGTGAATTTGCTCACCCAATCCTATTGTGGTTTTCAAGAATTAATTTTGGCAAAATCAATCCATGCTGCATTTTGGATTTTTGTTAAGCGTAGGCCACCCATCTGTTAGGTTGCTGAGGTGACAAAAACTCCATTCTTGTTCCACTGTATGTGAGGAAGATACATAGGAACCTTGGCAATTCTTCACGTAGCTGGCCCACACAAAAGTACAACGTTTTGAAACAATTCTCCCTCAATGAGACGATGGACTGGATTCCAAGTCCACCCTCATCACCACATACCGATGGGGATGTCTTGGTTTGATGGGGGATTTGGTTTCATTCATTTGTACCAACAAGCCATATCCCTGGCCCTGCATCTATGAACTTTAACAACAACAACGTTTTTTGGCTCTCAGTTGAGCGTTTCTGTGCGCTCTACAAAGTATTTTAGGGCGCTCGCAGTTTACATACAGCTAGTCTTGAGTGGATCTAAATCATTAAAAACCCGCTCTATTGGCCCCAAATAAACTGCTTCGTGTTAGGTTTTGGGTGCCTTCGGTGATACCATGCTCCCGATAAGCATTACAATGGCTGTGGCAGTCCTCTTTACAAATTACAGGCCGCAGGCCGCAAAGCTTCTTCACCACCCTCACGCAGGAACTTGGAAGCCGGTGACGACTTGCCCGCAATGATGTATCCGATCACAAGTCCATCGTGATCGACGGTGCTACCCAGAACACTCATCATGATTAAGGAGCTAGGGGAAAAGATAGAAAAGAAAATCGTCCCGAGTCCTCTTCGGCCGTAAAATTACATCTCCTTCGATCTTCTAGCTCATTAGAAACTGACCTTTGCTATTTTTGCTTTTTGCGGTGCTTGCTGATACTTCATCTCACTTCACTCAGCGATCAAACTTCTATATTGTCGCTTTGTTGGTGTTTCACAACTGGCTTCAAGCAAGCGAACACTCAGCCATCAGAGACCGATCTTAAAACCAAAAGGCCAATTGAAGTTATGGATTGTCGTCGAATCTTTACATTTATGGGGGGTTTAGCTGTGTGTGTTGCCATGAAGGACTTCTTCCACCAAATTCATGGTGAGACAAGTCGGGAAAGGCCTGGTGATTTAACAGATGGCGTTGGTCCCCTCCATTGAGATTAAAAGATGAAGAATTATTGACAAATAAAATTTTTCCTCAGACGGATGTGTTCCGCACCTCAATAGCTCGGATTGACGATGAAGACCCCATTGACAAATTTAGGGAGCTCAAGAATGCCGGCAAAGAGCTACAATTGTCCCCACTGAATCAAGATATCACAATCAATAGAATCAATATACCACCTGATCAACGGAAATCAGAAAATCACCAGGTACATGTCAATTCTTGTAGTGTTTCATCCTTACCACCAACCTGGGGAAGTCAAGGGCTAAACAGCCATCTTCAGGGGGTAGGAAAAATCAACAGAGATATTTCTTACCACATTAAATCAGAAATTCACATGATAAAAAGACCAAAAATAAGTGAACCGCCTGCTGTTTACAATTATTATGAGGTTTTAGCAGCCAAAAATCCTAGATATGATGGGCCTCAGGAGAACCTTGTCCAAATTTCTGAAACCCAAAACCAACCCAATGTGAAGACAGAGTCTGGTTATTCATCACAAAAATTGAGAAATTTAGGAAGTCTGAGCACCTCTCATGAGGAAAAGGAAGTCAAAAAAGAAAAGAACTCTGAACTCTTACAAGAAGTTGTAGAATTAAGAATACCTAAACTGGAAACTTCACATGGGGTCATTTATAAAAACCCTGATCAATCAATTAAAGTTGAAGAAGGTATAAAATGGCTTGAATTTGACACAAGTTTATTTTGGAACACAGGCACAGATTCAATTAATGTTAAGTCAATAACTGAACTGCTTAAAATTGATCCATCATCTCCGCCCAAAAAGATTGAGCTCACATTTGAACAAGCTGGTGATCTGCTTGATGATATAATTTCAACTAGCGTAAAATATAAAAGCAAATTAAGAACAAAAGAAAGAAAAAATGGAGCCACAAAAATTCTGAATCAGAGTACTAAAATTTTATTATCTAATCAAGAACTTTGGTTAGAATATTGGCAAAAGAAATCCAATACTAATTTGAAAGATGTCATTCACAGAAGATACAATAAACTCAAAAAGATGCGTGATGGATTTTTATTGTTTTTATTTTATGTTGATATGATTGATACCATTATTCTTCCACAAAGTCCAATACAATCAAAGTTTGAGAACAAGTCAAGTATATTGAAATTTGCAGTAGAAAAATATAATGGATATAGGATGTCATATGAATTGAAAAGAGAAGAAGCTGCTTTTCAAGGCAGAAGATTCTCTAAAAAATTTGACATTCCAATCCAACCAACAGTTTGGCATGTGTTGGATTTTTGGATTGTGAATTCTGGCAGAATTGAGTTGATCAAGTTGCGTGAATCAGAGAAAAGTTCAAGATCCCAAGCATTCAAAAGGTTCTTTAACACACTTTTCAGACTTTCCATTGGTCCATTCACTAACAAATTGAAAGAAATCCAAAATCTCTCCACTTAATTCATGTCACAGTATCTCAATTTTCTTTTTTCCTTTAATTTTTTTCCATTCAAAATCTTTCCAAAAAAAGAATGAAAAAATCATACATTAAGCCAAAACCTAATCCATAGCCTCAGTTGCAAGCCATGGATATCTGCAACAGTTGGGTCATACAAGTGCAATTTCTCATGTGAGAGATCATAAAGTATGTTGTTTATAATATGATGCATGTACTTTGTACTGATTTAGCCCACTTTAGCAATAAAAAAGTACTGTTTCCACCAGATCTTTCATAACTTCAACATCATATTGATGATTGGTTTTTGCTGGATAATATGATATTCATACATGTACTGGGCCCAAAACATGCCCATTACATCCATATACTAGGCAAATAGGAGGGTTTGTTGTCCTGATTTAGACATAATGTCTCATATTGGGCTGTATAGTACAGACTCTTGCCCAATACCAACACAAAAGAATAAATGTGTTACATTGTAGCCTATTACTACATCAAGACAAGACCAAGTAATGTGCTGGGGGGATGATGGTTGATATAGGCCAATAAAATGCACTTTATTGTATTGATTATTACTAGCCTTTTTTTAATGGCAGCTCATGGCCATGGCTAGCTTAGCTATTCAGAGAAAAGTCTGGAAACTAATGGCAGTTAATGGCAATGCACATGGGCATACTGCATGTGTAAATGGGTGGTGGTTTGGAACCAGAATTATAGCAGATTTGAGAGGTCACACTTCCCATACATCTTGGCAAGTTTAGAACCTCAATAACTCCATATAGGGACTTGGTCGATGTTTGAGGTTTCCAGACAGTCTAGACTGGATCCAAGCTCCAAAAACCAACTGGACTAGAGTGAACTTCTGTGTGTTAGGTTATGGGTCCCATCGGTGATACCATGTCTGCTATATGTCAACAAGCATTACAATGGTTGCAACGGCAGTGATGTTGACAGGCCGCAGGCCGCAGACTAGTCCATCGACATAACCATTCACATCATGATTAAGGAGCCAGGAAGAAAGACAAAAAAAATAAAGAATAATCTGAGACCTTTTCGTCCGCGTAGTGTTCATCTTGTTCGATCTTCTTGCTCATTAGAAGCTCGTCACCTTTTCCTGTGCTTTCGCATCCTTCGTCTCACTTGACCCAGCAAGAGAATTCAAGTAGTGTCGCGCTGATTCATTAACTGGCTTCAAGCAAGCGAACACTCAACCATCAAATAACACTGAGCTGAAACCAAAAGGCGAAATTTAGGTATGGATCGTCGCAAACTCGTTACATTCATGGGAGTGTTAGCTGTTTGCGGAGCAATGAAGGACTTCTTCCACGAGGCTTATAGGGAGACAACTCACCAAAGGCCCCGTAGCTTAGAAGGTGGTGTGAGTATCGCTTCATGGTTGTGATTTCACAGATGAAGGGGCATTGATGGAGAGCTTTGTTCCTCAGGAATGGGTGTTCCACACCTCCTCATCTCAGCATGAGCATGAAAACCCCGTTCGCAAGTTTGCAGAGCTCCAGAGTGCCGGCAACGAGCTACGATTGTCCCCACTGAACACAGGAATCCGAGTCAGCATACCAGCTGATGGAAAGAATTCAGCAAGTCCCCAGGCATATGACAGCTTGTGTGCTGTTTCATCCTTGCTACCAGCATGGGGGAGTCAAGGGTTCAACAGCCATCTTCAGGGGGTAGGTCAAATCAACAGAGAAGTTTCTCCCCACCCTAGCTCAGACATCCCCTTGATCAAAAGGCGAAAAACACATGAATCATTCTCAGATTTCCCAGCTGCCAGTGCCACACAAGGTGACTCAAAAATGGAAACATTGGACCTTTTGAGTAGGTTTGGGGTGCCTTCAACCTCTGAGACTTCAGCCAGCAATGATCCTGAAAGCCATTCCTGTCTTCCGCTATCTCAGAAGGGAAATGAATCCACAAGAATGTTGATCCAGAATACATACAAAGCTCCTTCAAGTGTTAGTTATCATCAAGATGGGGTTTCAGAGGCGAGGCATTCTAGATATGATGAGCATGAGGGAGAAGTTATCCAGGATCAGATTCATACAACCCCGAACCAACCCAAAGACATACACTATTTAGGCTTTAGATCACAGAAAATGGGAAGCTCAGGAAGTCTGAGCGCATCTCATAAAAAAAAGGAGTTGAAAAGAGGAAGAACATCCATACCAGAAGTCATGCAATTAAGAAGAACAGAACACAAGATACCTAAACTGGAAACTTCAAGTGATACCCTCAATGGGCTCCCTCAATTGATAAAAGTTGAAGAAGGTACACAATGGCTTGAATTCAACACCAGTTTATTCTGGATTTCACTATCAGGAACAGATTCGATTGATGTAAAGTCGATTACTGAGCTGCTTCAGATTGAGCGGTCCTCTCCGCCGACAAGGATTGAAATGAGTTTTGAGCAAGCCAGTTATCTGTTTGATCATTTACTGTCAAGTAGCAAAAAAGACAAAAACAAACTGAGCCTCTCGCCAAATAAAGGCCGCTATCATTCCTCAGAAATCCTCAGCGAAAGCACCCAGGTCGTCGTCAATCATCACCAGCTTTGGCTGGAGTTTTGGGAAAGAAAAACGGGGATGGATCTGAAGTATTTGGGCGAAAAGAAACACAACAAGTTCAAAAAGATGCGTGAAGGGTTCCCGGTCTTTTTGTTCTATGTTGATATGATTGACACCATCCTTAATGTCCCACTGCTCGATCCAAGTCAATCGAAGTATGAGCACAAGTCCAGTGTGTTGAGACTAGCGATAGAAAAATATGAAGAGTACCGAGGCTCGCACGAATTGGAAAGGGCACAGGCCTCATACGCTCAAGGATCGAGACTATCCTGCAAGAAGTTTGATGCGCCACTGGAGCCAATAGTCTGGCATATGCTGGATTTTTGGATCGCGAATTCGGGCAGAATCGAGCTGATCGAGTTGCGTGAGAGTGAAAGAACTTCGAGATCCCAAGGATTCAAAAGGTTCTTCAACACGCTCTTCAGACTTTCTATCGGTCTGTGCACCCATCAGTTGCAGGAAATCCAAATTCAATCCCTCAACTAGCCCCCCCCCCCCCCCTCTGTTCATCTCTATACACATTGCTTGGATAATCCAGCACTCATTTTATGCCGCTTATCATCCTTCCCTTTTTCGTTGTCGAGATGTGTGCTGCAAATCATTTGACTTTGACCACCTTGTCCTTGCAGGAGTGTGAAAAACCTGATAAACATACAAAAATCCAATAAAATTGCCCTGAAACCTGCCTGGTTGTCGATTTTTCTCCATTTTCTTTTCCTTTTTCTGAAATACATATTCCATGAAGATGTGGCCCAGATAAAAAAAAATCAGAATTGGCAGTAAGTCGAGCCTAGCTGACATTCTAGTCATCAAAATAGGGGGGTTCACAAATGAACTTAATTTAGAGCCATTTTTATGGTGTTTCTGATACAATTTTTTTTTTGAATTTTTCAGATTTAGTTGTTTCTGAACTTTATGCAACAAATCTCAAAAAAACAATGATAATTTTTCACCAGAAACACCTTGAAAATTGCTCTAAAGTTTGATTGTGAACCCCCCTGATAAACCTCTACTGACCAATCAAGATATATTATAAACATGCTGATACAGCATAAATTCCAGACACATGTACCTGATTTCTGTCCCTTGAACAACTCCAACCAGGGTCTCTGCAGATAGGTTTTCGGCCACCTGTAGCAGTACTGTATCCAGAAAACCCCCATGAGCCAACATCCAAGCACATTAAGATTCCCCAGGCTCAATGTGCTGACTTACAATGACATGAATAAGTTGATGGGTGATACGGCCAGAATTTTTTGTAGTATGTACAGTGGGTGGACCATTATTTTTGGCTGCTTGTTTTGGATTCCAGAGCTTCAAAGCACAAACTTGAAGTCACAAGAATTGGTGAAGTGGTGCAGAATAGGTCCCAAAGAATGAATATGAAAAAATAAAAACAAAAAACAAAGATTCAAAATTTGTGAAAAATAAAAAATAAACTTTGTTTTTCTCAAAAGCTTTGAAAGTCATTTTGGGGGAGTGAGAGTGCTGAGAGAAAGGAAGATTGGGATATTAGAAGAATGATTATGAATGAAAATTTTGGAAAAATTGCTTTCCAGATGGCTTCAAAGAGCTGTTGATTGGGGCATTCACCAGCACACATTGCAGTAAAGCACTAGAATTTACTGTTTTGGCTCCAATCTGGACAACCAACCTGGCCAAACCTTTTTTGGTTCCAATTTTTTTCATTTATAATCATTCTTTCCATGTTCCATTCTTTCTTTCTCTCAGCACTCCCACTCCCCCAGAATCAATAACAAAGCTTTTGGAAAAAAACATTTTGATTTTGATTTTTTCACAAATTTTGAAAATTTGTTTTTTAATATTTTTATTTTTTCATATTCATTCTTTGGGACCTATTCTGCAACAATTAACCAAGTCTTGTGACTTGAAGTATGTGCTTTGAAGCTGTAGAGCCCAAAACAAGCAGCCAAAAATTACGGTCCACCCACCACTGTACAGTGGGTGGACCATTATTTTTGGCTGCCTGTTTTGGACCCCAGAGCTTCAAAGCACCAAATTGAAGTGATGAGACTTGGTCAAGTGGTGCAGAATAGGTCCCAAAAAATGAATATGAAAAAATAAAAACAAAAAACAAAGTTACAAAATTTGTGCAAAATAAAAAATAAAATTGTTTTTTTCCAAAAGCTTTGATATTCATTTTGGGGGAGTGGGAGCGCTGAGAGAAAGAAAGAGTGAAATATAACAAGAATGATTATAAATTAAAAAAATTAGAACCAAAAAAGGTTGAGCCAGGTTGGTTGTTCAGATTGGAGCCAAAACAGTAAATTCTAGTGCTTTACCACAATGTGTGCTGGTGAATGTCCCACTCAACAGTTGTTTGAAACCATCTGGTAGCCATTTTTTCCAAAATTTTCATTCATAATCATTCTTCCCAGTTTCCATTCTTTCTTTCTATCAGCACTCACACTTCACCAAAACGAATATCTAAGCTTTAGAAAAAAAAAACCAATTTTATTTTTTATTTTTCACAAATTTTGTAACTTTGTTTTTTGTTTTTATTTTTTCATATTCATTTTTTGGGACCTATTCTGCACCACTTGACCAAGTCTCATCACTTCAATTTGGTGCTTTGAAGCTCTGGGGTCCAAAACAAGCAGCCAAAAATTACGGTCCACCCACTGCACAGCCCCTTGACAGAAAAAATGGAACCCTTTTGTAATTGGAGTCTAGAGGTTAAACCAATGACATGAAATTGATGCAGTTTGGTGAAACTGTAGGAAATGATCAGTTCCAAAGAATGATTCTGAAAAGTTGGAGAGAAAAAAATTTGTGTAAAATTGTTGTAGAATTTTTCTCATTTTTTTTTTTTTTTACTTTTTTGGGTATCTTTAATCAACAATTTTTCAAAGCATCTCAAACAATTATCAAGATCATCAACACAAATATTGCATGGATTAAAAAGAATGATTATATAAATGGAAAAAAAATTGAACAAAAAAAATGATCAACAGCTGTTTCTAATTAAGAGCTTTGGAATGTGTCATCCACCAGACCAACCCTGCAATCAGCCACTGAAATCAGATTTAATTTCAATCTGATCAGTCCAGTTTCTTCTGCTCTCTAAACCTTGGATCATTATTATTATTTTTTTTTTCCATTTTTCATTTATAATCATTCTTTCCACATGTGATTGTTTTTTTGATCCTGATTTTTTGAGCTACTTTGAGAAATGATTGAAAGATACCAAAAAACTCACAAAATGAGGAAAAAGATACAGTTTTTTTTTTTACAAATCATTTTTCTACCAGGAGGCATAAATTCCAGTCCATTGGTTTAACCTCTAGACCCCAATCAAAGGTTTCCATTTTTTCTGTCAAGGGACTGTACGAGATGGGATTCATCCCACCCTCTGGCACCAAGGGCCGCTTGGACGATGTGATGGAGTCACACAATCCATCTGACTTGGCTCTGCTTTCGAGCACCCTTGCTCTCAGATGTACATAACGATGCCCGTCAAACGGCTCAAGCAGGGATATAGAAGCATCATCAGAACAAAGAAGATCTAGATAAACAATTTAGAAAGACAACAGTTTGAAGAACACATCTAGAGGAAAAAAAAAAAAGAAATACAAAAGAAAGGAGGAAGGCCGAGATTCAGATCCGAATCTGATACGAGCCACTAGCCTTGGTAAGATAGCGGACCCATTTGACCGAATTATAGTTCGACTTCTCGAACACTTTGAGGAACCTAACGAGCAAGCCAGAGGAGGTGTACATGAGCACCTGGAAGTCGATGTTGATCGGCGGCCGCGACCACGCTTTCCGGTGTGTGGTGGCTGAGAGATCCGCACTCGCTGTGATCGTCGCATCTGATTGGCCTTGCATCCTTGGAATCCTTTTAAAAATTCATTAAGAATCGTTGAGGGTTGATGCCACAATTTTCAGAACGAATTTTTTTTTGTGAAGAGAGAAAACAAAAGAAGGGAACGACGGACTTCCAAATGATCACGTTTTCCTCAGGCACGTATTTAGCCTTACCGATCTGGGCCTTACAGGCGACCTTGGTGGTGTTTAGTGGGGTAGGGATCTTGACGACGACGGAATTGGCGTTGAGTTTGGAGTCGAAGTTGGCCTTCAGATGGACGGTGAATTCGACCCGCGACTTCCCGATCTCTTCGACGATCGGATGCACCCGGAATGGTAATTGAACATTCGTCGTGGATCGATATCTAATCAGAATCCATAAATCCACTTAATTTTCTTTTTTTTTCTGGACGGGCTAAATTAGATCACCCACCTCATCAGTTCGAACTCTCCATCCGGAGGAATAAAGCTGATGGTCCGATCCGAGTCGAATTTACCGAGCTTGACGCATTGGTGGAACTGACAATCATCCAACTCGACCGCGCTCTCATCAGTCCTAGTAGAGCCAGAAGGCTTGGCCCGATCACTGAGAACCAAAAAAAAATGACAAAAATTCGATCAACTTGGAAGCCCCATGAGAAATGGGCCATGTACGTTGTTTCACACATACGTTCTCTCGATGATCAGTTTATCGTTCAAGCCGAATTTACATTCCGGAGTGCCCGAGAGATAAGCTCGCATGAGGATTTGACCATCGACGTCTGCACGTAGTACGGTACCTATAAGAGGGAATCATCCAAAGCGGGTGGGGGGGGGGGGGATCAGTCTTTCTTCTTCAAGCGACCCGCTCCTAGTCTTGCGTAATTCGAACCTTTCGAAGACATGATCAGATTGACCGTCTCGACAACATCAACAAACGCCTCGTTCTTTCGATACTTGACATCATTTCGTCGCCATGAAGTAGCCCCAGTGGCCTGGATCGTAATCTTTGCGGAATCCTCTCGCTGGGGTACATAGATAGATGTTAATTTTTACTTTTTGTTGCTGTTGTTCTTGTTTGATGGAGCAAAGGGTAGACTGACGACGGCTTGTTCTGACTTGATGCTCTCGGTGGTGATGTACATCTTGAGAGTATCGATTTCACTGTTCTGAGGATATCCGAAATCCAAGATCTCTAAACAAAAAAGAATTCAAGAGAGGGATAAGTCAAAGAATGAGGACCAAGAGAGAGAGATCTAGACAAACCGTCGAGCAGTTCGTAGATCATCACAAAGTTATTCTTGATAGCCTCTTCGTCGACTTTGCCGAAGTAACTCTTTGCGATATTGATGATCCGATAGAGCAGTTCGAAGACGATCGCCGCATTTGCGTTGGTCTTGGTGACCGCGGTGAGGTAGAGGTTCTGATGACGGACATGGAAGAAGGAGGTTGAGCCTAGGGTGATGATCGGCGAGCGCACGTCCGGGTTGGAGATCACATGAATCCTGAAGATGTCCGCTATCGATCGTCTGAGTAAAGAAGCTATGTATCTGTCAGAAAATGGGAAGGGATTGGAGATATACATATGAATACTTGTTGATGGTTGTTACTCAACTTGAGATCCGGTCGGAATAGCTTGCTGATGAGTACTTCCCCCTTCTGGTTGAGGATGAAGAGTGCTGAGATCATGGTTGAATTGGTTCTGGTTGACTTTCTCCTACTAAGCACTATGTAGATCACCTCTCTCTCTCAACCCGGCCTCGCCCCGACGGTCGACCCCGGCTGACTAAGTGGTGCAGCCAAACAACAACAAGACCTCATCAATTTAAGACAACAATGCTCTGTGGAATAGTCATGTTTTTTTTATTGGGACATCAAATCAAAGAAGAATGAAAACGTTCATACAATAGATGAATTCAGCCAAATCAACCAAAAATAAAATAAAATGATGATGATGATGATGATGATGAGGTATAAAGGAAGTAAAAATAAAGTAGATGACAAAAGATGCTTGAATATGTATGAGCAAAGTTGCTATCAAAGTGTACATCACAAGGAAAAAAAAAAAGTACACGATTATATGAGCAGACAACAGTACAGGACAGGAAGTTCTTCACCAATTGCTGGCTAAGAATAATCAACACAAACAAATGAAAGAACCGAACGATCTGCATCCATCCAACATCATGCATTCGAGATGAAAGCTCGAGCTGACTAGTGATCGCGGGAACAGACGATCAGGAAATTATTTAGCGGCAAAGCCGGCTCTCTTTTTCAATCAACAATCAATCGATTCCAATTAGATTCGAGAGAGAGAGAAAGAAAAAAAAGAAGGTTAGCGGCTGAGAAAGATAAGACAAGATGGATAACAGAGAGAGAGAGAGAGAGACGAACGAGGACGAATCCATGGGCGCCAGTACCGAAGTGGACATCGTAGCATTTGGTGCAATAAGGTTTCCCAGCACGTTCGTTGAAGTTGGAGTCGAGCGCTTTAGAGCATACGGTGCATCTCAGACAACGTTCTGTGCAGTTAGAAAAGGTAGAGAGAGAGAGAGAGAGGTGGAAGGTTAGAGCTATGGTCGGAGGGAAAGAGAGAGAGAGAGAGGGAGGGAGGGGGGGATACGGACTGTGCCATTTCTTTCCGATCGCGAGTACTTGTTCGGCATGATAGACGGTCTGAGTGCAAGCGGGACAACGTTGGGGCCCGTCGGCTCCGAATCCGGGCCGAGGGAACGTCGGAGATGGACGCAAGTTGTAGGGCGAGCTGGAGGCTGCCCGGGCGGGGAAGGACAGGGCGGAGGTGTTCGGCTTGGGCGGCGGGGTGAGAGGGTGTTCTTGTTTGAGGCTCAGCTGGCGGGTCGAGTGGAGGGTGGATGATGAGCGGGAAACCGTCGTGCGGTCTTCATGCAGCACTTCTTCCGGTGTCTCGCTTGTTTTCGGACGCGGCTTGACGATGATCTGGAGGGAGGATAGCGAGGGAGGTTCGAAGTCTTCTTGGTCGGCCTCTTGATCGTTGGTCGGCTTGGGCTCGGCTTGAATAGGCTCATGATGATGATGATCAGGAACAGGTTCGAAGGGGAGATCTGGTTTAGAAGGCGAGTCTCGTTCTTCTCTTAAGCTACTACCAAAGGCAATAGTCGGCGAGACGATAGATTGGAGCTTGGGCGAGGTGGGGTATTCGCCGACGACGGCATTCCCGAAGCCGACGCCCTTGGTGCCGAATGCCTTGGAGTGGCATATCTTGCAGTACGGGTCATAGCCGTGTTCGAGGATGCTGAAGGGGTCCAAGACCTTCTTGCAGTGGGTGCATCTGAGACAGCTCTTGTGGTATGGCGTCGCGCCCGGTCCTAAGGCTGAAGATGTATATTGTCAGAGTCTGAGTGTTTCCTGGATTTTTAGGAAGTAATATGGCTTACCCTGTTCGGCGGCATAGACTGCTTTGAGACAGGCCGGACACTTGGGCGTGGCTGGTGCGAATGCCCGCTTGGTGTTAGTTGATGGCCTGTGGTTGAGATGGATGGTGTTAGTCCGAGACATGGTTGGTGGTTTTTGTAAATACTGGGGGAATGTTTGTGTTGGGCTTTTCTTGGGTTTAAATATTTACAAGCAAGTCCTTCTGACCGTCTCATCAGACAGACTGCCAACATCCTCACCAACAAACCGGAACACCTTATTACACCCTACTCCGATGAGAAGAACCAGACCAACTCATCTCCGCCACGGGTGCCACTACATATGTATCACAGTCCGACAACAGTCTCCATCCTGGTTTCTCAAGCTGCTCAATCAGTCAGTCAATCAATCAGCTTCCCATTCTCATCATGGCAGATCACAACAACAACCCGAAACAATCGCCAAACCAGTCAACCCACTTAAACAAGTACATACACCTCACTGAAAATTAACAGAAATCGGGCAAATCTTACCGGCCATTCCCCGGGATCATAGCCCCCGTTATGACGTAAGAGAACATCCAATTCTTCGTTAGTATAGAGGTCAGTATACCCGCTTGTCACGCGGGTGACCCGGGTTCAATTCCCGGACGGAGAGTGCAGACGAGAAGGGTGCTCCTCACTCCTCTCAAATATTTTTGCGCAGGACTTCCAAAAGTTGTTCAACTGAGCCAAGTCTTGGATAATTTCAAGTTTGGCAATCCCATTCCAACCAGCAAAGATCCCATTACTTTTGGATGACACATAATAGATTCAATGGGTTAATTTGGATACTTTATTTTTGAAGGGGGGGGGGGGGGAGGGAAAGACACATCACACACAGGCCCAATATCTTGATCCTCTCATCCATCATTCTTTTCAAAGTTCATTTTTTGAAGTTGGAGCATGATGGGAAGGATTCATCCAGTTTCTGATTGTCTTTGTCCTACCCAGATACATTCACCAATTCAAGGCAACTCAAAAGCAAACAAGAAAAAAATTGCACGGAGATGTGAGGTTTCATATTGAATGTTGTTGGCAATCCAATCTTATGAGACATTCACCCTTCCATCAATTCACAAGTCTTGATTGAACAACAACTGCCACACTAAATCGATGCCATCTAGATTAAAAGCCCAGTGATTTTTTTTTATTGAACAAAGAAAGAATCAAAAGAAGATGGTCTTCTTTGATGATTGATTCTTGACGCTCAAAGAACATGATTCAAGCAACATGGATCTTCCACTGGGACTCCCATCGATCTCTATATTAGTGGTGGATATTACTGTCTGCAGCTGGCTCCTTCCTTGCTACTTACTTTTGGCCAGTCAAGCATGAGAGATGAAGGTTAAGTCAGATACCTCACTAGGGAAACGACCAACGTGATGTCATCAACCTTTCCGCCTTTCAAGTCAGTGATCCCATGTTTGACAGCGTAGGCTTCAAAGGGTGTCGATCGATTCTCCTGAGACACCCAAGAAAAAGTCGTACTGATCAGAGATAGGGGATAAGATTGATTGATTGAAAGAAAGAAAGAAAGGAAGACAAACTTGAAAGCTAGCTCTCTGCGCGCAATCGCATATTGTATGGGCAAGGGCTTGGACGAGCTCGGGATCGTTCCAAGATGGTTTGCTGTTGATGACCAAGCGAACGAGGGAGCGGATCTCGTCGGTCCACAGATTATCGCCGATCCCGTCGGTGAAGAGCAGGACCAGATCGCCGTCCTGGAGGGTCTGCGTGTCCGAGTCGGCCATCTCGGGCGTGTCGGCGACGAAGTCTTGGCTCGGATATCCCCTCGGGAACTTGGTGAGCTGGTAAGGACAGTTAAAGAAATGCGTCTGCGCTTTCGACTGGGTGCCCACTTTCTCCGCCCCGGCTTGGATGTGGATCATGCTTGAGTCGCCCAGATTAGCCCAATGAAGACCAGCGGTGTTTGGGTCGAGTCGGGCGATCAAAGCAGTCGACGCTCCTCCACGGACCTGTTCATCCTTCAGCGTTGCTTGGAACGCTTTGGATAGTACTGATTTCGGTCCTTCATCCGTCTGCTGAGCTGATGGATCCTCCAATATCCGATCGGCGTGAAACATGATGCCCTGCGAGACTTCCGCCGGATCAGTCCCACCCTCCGCCCACCCTCCGACCCCATCAGCCACTCCCAGATATGTCGGCCTAGCAGGGTCGACAGTCGAATGATTAATGAACCACCAATCGTGGCCAGAGTTGGTCATCCTTTCGTACTTCCGAGGCCGGTCTTCGGGACACCATCTTAAAAACTCTTCGCTCCAGTTCTGCTTCTCCGTTTCCACCCACTTGCCAAATCTAGTGGGGGTCTTCCGTCTTGATGCAGCGGATTCCGATAGCTCTCGATCTGAAACCTTTGTTTTGTTGATCCATTACATCGTCACTTTTTGCTGATCCAATGTGGAATTGTTTTGTTGTAGACTCACTGGTTTCCCAATAAAAGAGGCGGCGTTGATAAATTTACAGATGGGGCCTATAGTCATAACAATTCAATGTACATATTTAAAATTAATCACAGAGCTTGTTAGCAAATTGTAGCTATGTAGATTGAGAAGGGAAGAGGCTTACGACCTGAACGAGTCGATTGAAACCTTGTTGTACCCAGAGTACGATGTGACCCGGGCGAAAGAACGACAACAATCGACCCAAGACATCTTGATGTCCTCGTCTGCCGATCGACTTTTGGTGGCTGCAGGCTCAGCGTCGTAATATTTGTAAGAGACCGTTTGGAGATCAGATTGCACCCAAGAAGCTGTGAGAAAAGGTCAAGTTGTGTGGTTGATTAGTCTATCCGTATTTCTTTTGTTTTAGAGATGATGGTTTAGATGGAGATAAACCTGGAACATGTTTTTGAATATAAGGTGGTCAGTTTCATGAGGCCTGTTTTTGGGTCCGACTCAAGAATGTCTGCCGATATATTGCGTATGGGTTTACAAGGGACGAGATGCATACCGGAAAGCCAGCCGAGATGCACAGTCCGGCGCCGGGACGACAGCGCGCCTTCGCACGTGATCGAGGCCTGCCGAAGCCAAAGCCTAAGTGGTTGTCGATCATCGGGAGACCGGGCCAGTGAGAGCCGGGCCTCCACGAACCCCATCACATTGCTGGTATCGGACGGCCATGCTCTTTCTCCCCGTGAACACACTCATCTCGGCCCCGCCGGCTAGTACACCCAACCTCGATTATGCTTTCATTGTCACATCAGGCTCTGGTCGATTTCACCTAGAATTATCAGTGCAACGAATAAGTTAGGCTATGAAAGTGTTCCGCAATAAATTGCTGTCTTGGATGCACAGCCAGTTTCCTCCTTGACAACACTTGGGAGGGTGGCCGTATAGGATGAGTTGAACACACCAATCCGGAACCTCCTGACCGGCTCCATCAACGGCCCATGCAGCCATGTATTTATGTAGTGTCGCAGCAGCTTCTTTTTGATTCTTGCATTATAAGAAACCTTTCCTCAACGCCCACCCACAAGTTGGCTTGATGTGATCTGAAGCAGACCTGATTTGAATCTGCACATCGCATAGATCCATTACTGATTTGATTGAACTGTTGACAACTTGCGCCATACACCAATCAGTCTTGAGCAAATTCCTGCCTCTATTCATCGAGACTCTCCTCGCCATCTTCTTTCCTTCACAGTCAAAATTCAGTGCATGCTGAACTGCCCTGAAGTCAACAGACTGATGATTAGGAGAAAGTTTCCATGTAAAGCTTCAAGAGATAGATCCGATTGTCAATTTTATAGTCCAACGATGGAAGTTGCCAACGTGCAATGCAAATCAAGGAAGATAATGATTGTATGTGGGGTGCACCGTGAAGATGCGGAAAAACAGCAATCAAATACGAAGACGCTCTACAAGCTTTGCGAATATTGGAAGACAAATGCTCGAAACATTAGAAGATGGAAAACAGATACTTGAAGGAAAGGCAGGCATTTTTTTTTCTGTACAAAAGTGCAAGAAAACAAGGAACTGGGGCTTAGAGAACGATGTCGGAGCATTGGCCAGGTGGATCTGTCCGGCCGTCTTCGCGCCCAGAAGGGGTCGAGATACAGAGCTGGAGGGAGAATGTTGTTCGGAAGACTGACATGACTGATTTCCCTAACCAGTCACGGCCAATGGTGAGAATGATTGAACGTAGGAGAGGGCAAGATGGTCAGGGCTTATGATTGGGCCCCCAAGACTTGACCTAAGGCAACCTCCTCGAATTCGGCGGGCAATTTCCAGCCCGGTTCCGCGGTCAGGACCTCAACCCCATTCTCCGTAATCAGCAATGTTTCTTCGAACTGGGCCGACCGTTTACCGTCCTTCGTGACTGCTGTCCAGCTTTTCTCATCCAACACTCAATTAGTCAGTTGGTGGAGGACAAGACACACACACAGAGAGAGAGAGAGTAAGAACTTTGCTCACTTGTCCGGCCAATGATCTTCATCTGAAACTCCTTGATTAACCATCGGTTCAATGGTGAAAACCTAGAGTTAAGCACAGATCGAAGTCCATAAGCTTTTTAAAACAGGGAATTGGAGATTCATAGTCTAGTTAACCACAAACCATTCCAGGTTTCATTTCTCCAATGGCTTTTGATTTGGCATAATGTGGTATGTTAGGAGGTCCATGAAACAACCTGAGCAGAGGTGAACATTAGGTGGGGTGAGACTACGTTTTCTACGCGATCAGGTGTGAGAAAACGCTATGAGTAGACGGGAGAAAAGACTGACTGGCTGATCCCATGGCCACAATATCTCTTGTTGACGTTGAGGCCGGCTTGTTTGGCCATGGGCTCGATGATGTTGCCGATCTCTCTGAACAGTGTGCCTGGCCGACAGATCGAAATCGCCCGATCCAGGCATCTTCGGGTCGACTTGATCAGATGTTCGGACTCTTCGCTGATCTTCCCCACCGGATATGTCGCGTTCAAATCGCCATGAAAACTTTTTACATTCGATCGATCAGCTAAGAGGCGAAATCGTACCGGATGCGCGTCTTATCTCGTTGGTGTGAATTACTTACCCTTCATGGAACAGGGTGACATCCAGGTTGACAATATCCCCTTCTTCGAGTGGCCGACCGTCAGGAATTCCTGGATGAAAGAATATGCTTAAAATGAATCAGTGTCGTAGAAAAACATTGTTTCGAGCTCTTTGTCCCGCTTACCATGACAAATTACTTCATTGAGACTGATACAGACACTACGAGGAAACAAAAAATCTACAGGAAACTCATTAGGTCGTCAGCATCGACAAAAAAACCACAGGTTTAGCGTTGTGTAAGTTTTGAATGTAGGAAACAATTCAAGGGACTTACAACCAAGAGGTGAAGGGTACGAATTACGCTCGACACAAGCATCATGCACGATCTTGTCTAGCTCTAAAGAAGTGATTCCCGGCCGGACGTGAGAGCCTGCCAAGTCCAGAACCTCTCGAGCAAGCTTCATCATTGTTGTTGTTGGGGAATTGAAGAGGAGATGGATGGATAAGGCATGTTCATCAGTAGACATACGAAAAGGAGTTGAGAGGGTGTGCTAAGTTAACGTACCTTGCAAACCTTCCTCATCCCATCAATCTCATTGGGCTTCAAAGGTTTCCCGAGTCGTTGACCGGAGATTGCCTGTTCAGAGGGTGAAATACCATATTGAACTGTAAAAATAAAGTAAAGTGGAATGAGTAAACTGGTGATCAGAGGGAGTAAAGCACCCACTTCTTGGAGGCCATAGGAGACGACGGAGAAGACGTTTTTGAGCCCAGTCAGGGACCACTCACCGTCCTTTGCATAATCCGCTAGATAGACCGGACGGATGTTGAGGGGGATAGATTGCAAGTCAATTGATACGGTCCCAGATTGCGAGCCGTTCGATAGGATCACCGGTTGGGCCAGTAAGACCGAGCTACTCACGTAGTGGTATCGATTCGGGCACAGTCCTCTTCGGCACACCTTCGATCGGATAACACGCTCTCAATGGCCCGGTGTATTTGAAGTGTTGGATCCCTCGAAGAGTCTCTTTGGACCGATTTCTGAGCGGATAGGATGATAAGTTATGTTCGTCAAAGGGGTCGAAAGCTGTACCAAGCAAGTTAGTCAGCCACAAAGCGTTTTTTTTTTAAAAAAAAAATCGAATCCGGTCTTCATTTTAATATTTATTTGCTCGTCGTGGGTGGCTGTTTGGAATTCTATAAAATGAACCCATACTGACTTCCAAGCGGTCCTTTGTATTCGGATGGGACGATGGGGGCAGGGATGTTGGAATGACAAGAGATCTTGTGTTCGGGCCAGGCTTGTTTGAAGCAGCTTTGAGAGCAGAAGAAACGAGATGGAAGATTGGGGTCTCTAATACAGCCAAGAGCATCCAAAAGAAGCAAATCACCGAGATTAGCATGTGTTACTAGATGACTTGAATGTGCAAATTTGATTGAACTCAACTGTTTACATTTGGGACACTCTAATTTGCTTGCTAGTTTTCCACAGCCGTTCGTTGAACAGGGTCTAGTTGGCAGTTCGACCATGACTCCTGAGTTGGGCGAGTAGATGGTTATCGGAGTTGGATGGTTCCTCTGCACTCAGTCGCAATGTCCTTGGTTCTGCTTGGTTCTGCTTGGTTCGCCGGGTGATGGTTGGCTCAAGCTGGGGAGGCCTGAACCCAAGAAAACTCCGCTGGCCCCTCGCCAATCAAGATGGTCACAGCAAGTGCGTTGTACCACATCATTCTCAACTTCACTCTAACCTTTACAAGACTTATGTGTGCGCCTCAAAGTGTCAAGTGCACTAAATCTTTCCTGCAATTCAATCTCGACTCTTCCTTTCAATTTCGGCATGGTGTACTCACTTCGTAGGGGAAGAGCCACGTCTCACCAAATCTCCGTCTGGAAGCGCTTAGATATGATTCAGCCGAGAGGCAAACAGACGTCTCACGAGAGGCAAACAGACGTCTCACAGGTGGCAAACACCATTGCAATCCGGTGGAAAGGATTAAGAGTGCGCACTGCTGGTCTTGTGTGCACCTTCCTACGGGATGATTTGTAATGAACGAACGTGGTATGAAATTGTCTGTTGAATGAGGAAGCAAACGAAAACAAACAGCGCAAAAGAAACGCGAAATGGGGTGTAGAGACACCGATCAGGATACAATGCGGCACAAGCCCAAAGATTCAACACAACATGGAGGGCTAGTGAACTAATGGGACTGCAGGGTGGCATGTGCTTATAGCTTGAACATGATGTGGGGGGAACAAGTCAGAAGAGCAATCTACTTCTTCTGCTGGAATTGGGAAAGAGATGGCACGATGTCGGGCATCAGTCTTTGCGCCAAGGGGGTGAAGTCCGATGGGATGAAGCTCTGAGAGGTCATTGAGGAAGATCTGGAGCTGGCTCGGTGGAAGAACGATTGCATGGAAGTAGAGAGAGTCGACATGGCTGCAAGAATCGGGGCGTGTCAGTGTGAACTGTGCCTGGTGTGGGAACAATGATGGAGCTTACGGTTGGAGAATTGGTCAAAGATGCTGCCGCCAAATTGACGTTCAACCTGGTTCATGAATTGGGTGAACTGGGAGAATGAGCTGGAAGCAACGCTGCTGAATTGGCTCTGACCCTGGAACAAGAACAAAGGATGATGGGTCAGTTATTGTGAGGGGTAGGCCTGATGGAAGCGAAATCTGCTAACATTGACACATTCGCCGCAATAGGTGGCTTGCGACATGGCGGACTCGAAGTACTGGGTGATTTGCTGCACGACTTGGTAGATAGCTTGTTGGGTGATCTGGCCACTGATCAGGCGGGAGTTCATGTTCTCCAAGTAGCTGTTCAAGCTGCTGAAGGCGGAGTTGACAGTCGACATGCTGTAGCTTTGCTGGGACTGGGAGGACGAAAAGCTGTTGGCACTGTCGAAGTTGCTAGCACCACCTGCGTACATGCTGGGGTCGTAGTTGCTGATACCGTACCCATTGGAGCCGATACCGTTGTAGCCGCTGGCAGTGTTGTAAGCGCTGGCGCTGTTGTAAGCGCTGGCGCTGTTATAAGCGCTGGCGGCACCGTTGTAGCCGCCGACACCATAACCGCCGTTCAAGTTGTTCCCGTATCCTCCGAAGCCGGCAGCTCCGCCGCCGAGATAAGGGGATCCACCGTTGTAGTAAGAGCCCGACTTGTGGCTAGCATCTGAGTTGCTACGGTCGGAGCTGTATGAACTGCTACTGAATGGGGTGGACGAGGCACCGCGAGCGTGATCTTCGTTGGAATGAGCGCTGTCCTGCGAGTAACTGCCAGCGACGTAACGGGGGTTGTGCCTGTGCAGTCACAAGAATGTCAGCGCCGCGGAAGGTGGGACGAGTGCGTTGACTGGAAAGTAGTACTCACTGGACAGGTGAAGCGATGGCAGCTGTGGAGAAAGAACACCAGCAGAAGGGCAGAAGGGTGCGTTAGCGTCGAGAAGACTCCGAAGACAAAAGGCTAAGAACAAGAAATCTTGCACGCACAGGCAGCTAAGAGGCAAGCAACGTAGACGGTGGACAACATCGTGCGGAGTTGGAAGTTTGGCTGAATGTAATGAGTGACTGGAGTAGGAAATGTTCGGTAAGCAGGAAGTGCGTAACAAAGAATGTGAATGGGATGAGGAAGGTGGAAACTACGGCGATGGGAGCTTTATTTATAGAATTTCTCCAAGTAGGCCCATCCTCTGCTCTCGGGGTTCCGATACGATGAGCCATGAAGGAGGCTGCTTCGGGCTCGGCCATCGAAAACTATCAACAGATCATCTGGGGCAACCGCCAAAGACTTGCGTTCTCTCATGTTTTTTGCAATGGACGCTGTCAGCAGCAGCAACCAGAGGAGATGGGCGTGATCCTGCGTGATGTCCCTCGGAAATTCTACTTCGAGCTTCAACCCATCTGGATTCTGACATCCGGTTTGCCAACCGCAAAAGACTCGCCTTCTCTGATACATATGGCGGTAACTGAATGGCAATTTCAGCACCGCATCTGGATGAGTCTGGATTAAAGAGTCCGTCTTGCGGCCGCTGTAACGAGTCAAAGACTCGCAAATGTGTGTATCTTGTTGGCAACTGACAACCCTGATAAAAACTTGTAGGAAATGCTGCCGTTGTCATTAATGCAGCTCTGAAAAATTTCGGCTGTCGAATTCTCAAGTTGTGGACGACAGCATCCCCAAGGCGGCCAGCATCGGACAAAAACATAAGAGCATCTCCACCGCGGGTGGTAAATCCGGGGTGGTAAATGTCGGATTTACCACCCGCATTCCAGAGTTGCCACCTGAGATCAGGCAGGTGCGCCACCGCAAAGTTGTAGACCTTGGCTGAGGATTGGATGAGCGAGCGACATTGGCTTGTGAAAGGGTTACACATATTGGGGTTTCACAAGCGGGATGGCTGGTTTCACACATGCGCAAGAGGTGCCTGGGGTGGTACACGAGTGGTAGATCTACAACCTCGGTACATTTTTTGGACCCGAGATGTTGCTTACCACCCCGTATACCGCCCGCGGTGGGAGGGCGTTTTGGAAATTGGGGTGGTAAACGGGGCTTACAACCCGGATTTACCACCCGCGTTGGAGATGCTCTAAATCGATGTCCTACCAAAAGTTGGTCTATGTAGGGCGACATGGATGATGGGGGTACAATTGAGGACTTGTTTAAAGAAACTCAAGTCTGTCAGAGGACTGTAGCAACGGTGGGCCAGTTACGCTAACGTAGTGTTAGTGTAGCGTAGTGTTAGCTTTTTAAGCTACGCTACACAAAAGTTACCGTTAGCGGAAATTTTTGGCCCACTAACGCTACAGGATTTTTGAAAAAAAAAAAAAACTTTAGCGTAGTGTTAGCTGCCTTTAAAAAGGTACAACTAACACTACCCAAAATCCTGTTAGTGAAATTTTAGCGGTGTTAGTGGGTGAACCCACTACGCTACATGTTAGTGTAACTTTTTGCAAAGTTACACTAACAGTTAGCGTAACTGGTGTAAAAGTTACACTAACTGTTAGCGTAACTGATTAAAAGTTACACTAACTGTTAGCGTAACTGAATAAAAGTTACACTAACTGTTAGCGTAACTGATTAAAAGTTACACTAACTGTTAGTGTAACTGATTATGTAGTTGGAATAATATGTAGGTTACCTCAGACATAGTAGAGAATAAGGACCTCAAAAAGTATTTTTCAGATAATTACTTGGGAAAAAAGCAAAAAAAAAAAACCAAGTAATCATACTGTAAATTATCAACTAAAAATCAACAAATATGGATGGATAAATGAGGGATGAAAAGAACTACTGATATTGAACTTTTTTTTTCTGGTAAGATTAGGTATTAGTGAAAATAAGAAATTGTTTTTTTTGCTTTGATTTTTTTATACTAAGATTTTTTTTTGCTTAGAGATGAGTGATAAAAAGAATACTAGTGGTTAAAAAGCAAAAGAAAGAAAAGGTGGGAAAAAATCTACTTTTTTCTTTGGGAATAGTCAATGTACGAAGAAACAACTGTTTGTGCTTTGGTGAAATCTCCAGCAACTTTAATACCTTGTTTTAACCACATATGGCTACTAACACACCTTTCAATTGTACGGGGTTTCAAACTCCCTCGGCCAGTTGAACAAACATCAGCAGCTGAAGAAAAGGTATGCTCAACTGCACATGAGGATGCAGAGGATGCTAAGTAGTCCTTGGCCAGTGATCCAAGAACCGGGTAGGTGGTTGAATGATCCTGAACAAGATGAATAATCAAATTATGATTAGAGTAATTACCAAATGAGTATGATCAAAGAAGGTAACTTTATACCTTCCACCAAATTAAAATGCTCTTGGGATCGTTTGAGGCAGGCAATGGTAGTCGATCCATGTTGTTGATATACACCTCGAGCTCTTTGCTTTCGTCGGTTCTTGCAGGTGCATTGAACATTTCAAAGATATCACTTTGCTCGACCGGGGGGGCTTCTTTTTCGACAAGTTGGATATTATCTTCTTTCTGTTTCTTCAGATCCTCCACACGTTTCGCAAATTCTTTCTCCAGAAGTTTTCTCGCAAAGTCCGCTTTTTCAGGCCAGCAATGGGTGAAGGCCTTCAGCCGTAATTTGGGGTGGAGCAAAGTCGCCATAATGAGAGTATGACACTTGAGTGCCTCGTTTTCGTAGGTCTCTAGTTTCTTGATCATTTTGACATACATCGGATGCATCGGGTGACCTCGGTTGCAGGCATCCTCCTTACAGTCTGTAGTCTGTATGGCTGCCATAGTTCTTATTCTGGCTACTAGGTCAAGGTGAAAATGCAAAGGCCATCTGAGGACCAATCCATTACAACAAGACATTATCCTTCAATGTCCCCAAAACTGGGCTCCATCCTGATCCCAAAATGGCAATTCTCCCAATGAGGGACTGAACAAGAACTGCCTACAAAGTTGAATACGTGTTGTTCCAGCATGATGGAACACCACCCCCTTCAGTTCAAGCCTTGATTCAAGATGCTTTAGCAAAACACCATGTGCACATTTAACCAGGTTTTGAAAATTTCCCCTCACGTATGCATTGATTTTTTCATCTGGGATTTTCTACAGGTGATTTTGCCCCCCAGTTTCTACATAACTATACTTCTCCCCTCAAATCATCAGTGATGAAGCTAACTGACCAAGTAACCCATGACAATCATTTTCTATAAGAATGGTAACACTTCAAAAGTCTGTGTGGGTTGTGATTGAAATTTTCCTTGTCAAGAAGTTCAAAGAGTCACAAATGTTGTAGTTCCCAGAAAAACTGGCTTAATTGAGGGTATCCTATAAGTTAATTTGGGATTCATTCAAAGCATTTAACATTGGTTGAAATGAACCAACAAGATATTTCTACTGGGATCACACTGATCAGATGAAGCAAACAATCATTGAAAATATTTTGGCCCTTTCACAAATGACACTGATACAAAACTATGAACATCAAGCAACCAGGATGGCTCTATGTTGGAAAATGATCATTAAATTGAAGACAATATAGCACTGGAATCAAACAAATGAAGAACTTGGAGGACTGAAATTATCTTGCTCCAAGTTGATGTTAAATCTGTTGGACTAAGATAAAATTTCAACAAGAATAATGTATATGAATCAAAATTATAGAACACTTTGGCCTGAAAGCAGATAAGATCTGAAAATGAGGTGCTAAGATTTTGTTTAGTCTGATTGTAATATTATGACTGATGATAAAAATAGTACACAGTTTGTTTTTTTATGAAAAAATTCATATTATTGTTCATATAAGAATGTTGAGAAATATAGTGAATGATTTGGAAAGATAAAAATTGCTTTTGAATGTCTGATTCTGAAAACAATCTTGAAAAGTGATTCTGACTGTGATCCTCAGTATTAGTAATCTATGAACACAAAATTTCAAGTAATTAGTTATCTGAGAAAGGAAAAAGATCTTCAATGAAGTCTATCTGAATTTCTTACTGTCTTGGGGGAGTACAGTTTCTGTAGAAGTGATACTTTGTTCTTGGGGGATGTAAAGTGACTCCTAATTCCTACTCAACAACTTTTAAATACTGCAAGATTTGGATTGGACTGGTTCAGGACCATTCCTGTACTGTAATGAAAGCCGTCTGGTACTGGGAGTTGGCAATCCAAACTTCATGCTGGGATTGGGAGTTGTCCTACCAATGTCAAATTACATTTTTCTGATACATTTTTCATATTATTAGGGCTTGCCTACCCAGCCAACTCAATCTTTATCTAGAAAATTTGCACCTCCCAAATTAGTTTTAAGTTTCAGGTCTGATATTTATTGCTTAGATTTGCACTTCATTCTCAGAACTCATCTGCTTACATGCAAAGCTGCAGCTAACACAAATCTGGCGATTCATGGTAGACAGAAAAATTCTAGAAGTACCATAGTTGTAACCAATCTTTCTTAGATTTTTTCAGAGTGCTAAAGACACTGTTGACCAAACTGCAATAGCTTATCAGGGGTACAACGGTCATCAGAACAAATTACTGCAATTCCTCATCATGGTATTACTTGGTGCAACTGAAACACACTGTTTTTTTGACTCCTTATCAAGTATGATAATGAAAAATCCTAAAAAATCCATACATACATGCAATTCCAGATCAATCATTTTGGGTTGAACTTCTTACAGTCACAGGCTTGTAATGCTTTTTATCTTCTTGGAAGAGGGTCTCAGGGATTGAGCATTATGACTCCTATATCCCCTATGCTTGGAGTGATGTTAAGGCAGGCAAATCTCAAAATTTTTGAAAAGGAAAATGGAAGATATAGATCAGAAGTAGAATGCCACCCCCAAATGCAGCCATAGATTTGGAAAAGCACCTTCCAGGGATCTCTGGAGACAGTCATTTGGAGTTGGTTTTTCAACCAGCTTCTTTGGGTTTTGAATTATCCAAAAAGTAATTAAAATACCTCAGTGATTTCACAATCTCAAGTTGCACAATTGATTTTCAATTTGAAATGAGAAAGTATTCAAACTCAAAATATTAACTTAAGATTGATTTCAATCCAATTATTATTAATGATGGCATTGCTAATGTATGAGTTGGTATATCAGCACTTACAAGCTGTAAGCTTGCTCAAGCCCATTAATCAAAGGTATCCATTCAATATTGACTTACGGATAGATCCTGTTATACATGCTTTTGTTGCTAAATTCCATGTTTCCTTTCTACATGAGAGCTCATAAGGAACCTATAATCCAGCAATAATCACATTTACCTAAATGCCTCCATTCAACTGAGACTGTGCTGGCAATGCCCAATCCATCTTCTCAATTTTTTTAGTGGAGCAATTCAGGTGAAACATGGATATAAATGAAGTGTATGTTGAAATGATCACTCTGAGAAAATGAGACAAGAGGAGGAAGTGACCAGAAAAAGAAGAAATATCAAGAGAGAGAGAGGAGCAACAATCAAAGATCACTCAAAGAGGGATAGTGTTTGCTAGCTTGTGAGTTGGCAGAGCACTCTCACTAAATGAATCCAGACATTAAGCTCAATTCTCTCAACATAATTCTCAAACCAGTTGTTCAGTTTATCCTGGGGTTTATAGATTGTCCAAGTCAGAGGATAACACAAGTCTCTTCCACCCATACCTCTTGAGTTGTCAGCCACAGAGTACATGTCGCAGTACCTTTCATGTATCAAGTAACTGCAACACCTGTATTTATTTACATAAGTACTTATCCATAATGTTGTTTACCTTTACCTCTTGTTATCTTATCATTATTCTTACCTTATATTCAGACACCAGTTAAACCAGTTAACATTTATATTGATACATTACACATAACCAACATAAAGCTAGACTATATTTATTGTTCTTAAGCTTCAGCCAACAACTAAACTTGTCTACAGTATTCATA